GTTTGCAAGTGACACAACAAATAGCTTTTGTACGGCAAATATATCTCAGTAACAATGATTAAGATGCACCTATTAAAGTAGGTAGTGGAGCATATTGCCACGTAGTAGAGCATTTTGTCACATATGAGATTGTTACTAAGGAAACCATGCAACACATCCAGTATAAAACATATTTTGTATTTTATCACCTAGGCACACGAAGATCTGGAAAGGGGGAAAAATATTTCTAAAGTAGCATTGCTGTTGTATCCATTCCCTCCAATAGTAATTTCATGTCAATAGTTTCAACATCTAACCGCATTCTTATCAAATTGTTTTGTAACACCAGTGCAACGCTCAGTGGAAGGGGTTCAGTTTTGAAGGCCTGCCTCACATGCCCTTTGTTTCATTCATTTGGCCCTGGAAGGCTAAAAGAAAGAAGACTGGCTGCCAGCCATGTTTGCAACAGATTCCCTGAAGCATTTGGTGTAATCTGAAGCCATTTTGCTACATACCAAATGCTCCAGGATCATTATGTTGAGACACACTTATAGAAAAATAAAGGATTTGGGGCTGCTCGGTCTGGTTGGGCAGAGGAGCAGGGAAGCATCACGCCAACCATGATCTCAGTAGGTGGACCCTTGGCATTTGGTACATAAATCCTGATTGTTGTGTACCAAATACTTGTTGATTGATCTATTGGGATCATGGCTAGCGCCCATCCTGAGCACATCAAGGGGTTGGGGGCATCCCACCCCAGACAGACTTCAAGCCACCAAATGCAGAATATTCCATATACAATGGAATGCCTGAAAGTCCTAATTTGTCTTAGGGCCTTTGCAGACTGCCAGAAATAGTGCAAATTGAGTCTGCTTTAACTGCCCTGATTCAGTGCTAGGGAATCATGGGAACTGTAGTTTATTCTGGCAGTAGAGCTCTCCAGTAGAGAAGGCTCAATGTCTCAGAAAAAAATACAATTCCCATGATTCCCTAGCACTGAGCCAGGGCAGTTAAAGCGGACTCAATTTGCACTATTTCTAGCAATCTGCAAAGGCCCTTTTAGTTGGTCGCCATTATCTGCTGCAACTTTATAGGATCTGTCTGCTGTGACCCTTTGCCATTCTTATACATGTGGAGTTACTGGCTGCATGCTTACCTCTTCTACAGAGTGATCCTCAGGTCTTTGGCTCCTTTATCGTCCTATGCAGCTTATTTAACTGCCAATGTTTCAAATGGTTCCAGTGATATCACTGTATACCCCCAGAGTTTTAACATTCTCTCACAGGAAGCAATTTTTAAGTTCTATGTCCCATCAGTCTTTGGGCTGGGCTGCTGTCCATTTCTTGTGAAAGTGTGCAGCAAATGTCTAATAAGGCTAGGTATGAACTCCCTACAGTCTTATTTGGTTTCAACAAAAAATTCGGTTTTCTTTGGTTTGTTTGTTTGTTTTTACTATCTTCATTGCAAATGCAGCTTTCTCATTGCTCTTTGGGTTCCTAAGCGATGATGTTTTCTGATGATATTCTCACTTTGTGCAGAACAATCTTAATTCTGTCAAGGTCTACTGTGGCCATTATTTCAGGTCAGAATATCAGATATTCCATGCCTTGTAAAATGGGCCTTCTGATCACCATGCTTGTCTGAGTGTTTTGAAGGTAATCTAACCCTAAAAACTGGATTAGTAATGTAGTCTATGGACGTTATCACACATGGGCCAGAAAGCGAAAATAAAGTG